CACCCCAGGAACTTCCTTTGAGCCCCTGAAGGACTTCAAAGGGAGCTGTGCGTTTCAAGAGGAAAAAGGTGGGAACGAAGCTGCTCCTAGAGCTGCCCAAGCTACACAAGCCAGCTGGATGACCAGCCATGTACCCTGGCAGGCAGGGCCTGGCCCATAAAGGACTCCTGGGAGAGCCCATTGTTGACTCAGCCTCCAAGAGAGGAAAATCTCCCCCTCCCCCATGCCCAAAGTAGGCACGTTTTACTGGAGGGGAAAGTCCCATTCCTCCAACCTCTTGTTTCCAAGCTTCAGGCATCTTTCACAAGATGGGGAGGGGCAACAGGGCCCCCCTCTGGTGGATGGGCCTGGGTGGGGGCCTTGTCCTGAAAAGCTGACAGAAGAGCTGAAGAGATAAAGTGAAAGACTGCCCAGCACGGCAGTGGTGGGGGGCCAGGCTGTGTGGGTGCTCGCTGCTCAGGGATGATTCAATGACAACCTCACCACTGAGTCTGTGTGACTGGCAGCTGGCTAGTGGGAGGGGCCCCAAAGGTCACTTGAGAAAGCCCAGGTGGACCAGATGAAGTAGATGGACTTGGTTCTCTGGGGCTCTCTGTGGTGTTACGATAAAACCGGTACAAGGTCCCCTTGGCCAGAAATAGTTTGTCTGACTCTCTTGAAAGGGAGCTTTTCACCTCTGTCAGCTACATAACAACTGGCTTTGGTGTATTTTCAGACTGTTATTCTTGAGCTGCATGATTTATATAGTGTAGCAGTTATGAGACACCCTGGCTAGATAAGTCTAAATAAAAGGTTGCAGCACCCACAGAGGTTAACAGAACCCCTTCCAGCTCCACATCTAGTGGCACATCCACTCTCTGCAGGTGTTTGCTGGACAGTCCTGCACCAAGTTGGAAGCATCTGCTCAGAGGGAACCGTAAGACGGAAACCCTGGCCCTGCTTAAGTGCCCCCTTCTCTGCCCTCAGGCAGAATAGGGTTCAAAAGGGCCCCTGTCACCCCAGCTCAGACAGCAGTACTCATACCCCTCTCTGAGCCAGGTCCTGCTGGTGGTAAAGAAGGATAACAGCACCCCTCCTTGGATTGCTGTGCGGCTACCTAAGACAACAGGAGGAAAGCATTAACATCTGATGGATAGTAAGTGCTCTCTGAGAGCAGCCACCTTGCTGTTGCTTGGAGAAATCTGGAGCCTTTACCTGCCTGGGACACATGTTCCCCAGAGCCACACTACTGCCCAGAAAGCAAAGGCTCCCACTGAAACCTACTATGCTCCTGGACAGAGAGGGAGGGACTGAGGCACTGACTGTACCTTGACCTGACTTTACTTTTCAAGGTTTCTTATTTTGTTTTGTGGTACAGGGAGTTGAACCCAGGGCCTCAAGCATTCTCGGGAAGTTCTCCACCATGAAGCTATGTCCCCATCCTTTTTAAATTTTGAGACAGGGTCTCACTAAGTTGCCCAGGCTGGCCTCAAAACTTAGGATCTTCCTGCCTCACGCTCCTGAGTTGACTCAGGGCTTTTAGAGGGAAAAAGACCCTGTTAGAATGAAAATGACTGGTAAACCATGACACACTGGGGCTCTCATTCATTGTCAGTGTGAAATAAGAACTGGCTCCACTTGGGGGACGAGGGGAAGCAACCACTAAAGCTGAACACTTGCCTCGCTTATGCCTCAGACAGTCCCTGCTAGATCAGCATGCTCCAAGGAGGCATAACCTCAGAAATGCATCCATGCACTCACCAAAGGATGAGCTCTATAATGCTCTAGGATACACAGCAGCACTGCTCATAATAACCCAAACTGGACACTACACTCCACCAACAGGACAGTGGATAAATTGTGGCAGTCATCACTCAGTGGAATGCTACACAATAATGACAACGAACAATCTACCACCACATGCCACAAACATGAGCAAATCTCCCAGACACAATATAAAGTGAAAGAAATAAAACACAAAAGGGAACAAAACACGATTTCAATTATATGCAGTCAATAACATGCAAAAATTAATCTATGGTACAGATGTTAGGACACGAGTCACTCTGGGAAAAAAGTTTGTCAAGCATGGGCTACACAAGAGATATCAGCTGGTGAAAAATCATTGATAGTTGCAGCACAATATGAGCACTTTCTCTAGGTATAACTGATTCTAATAAAGTTATTTTTAGGTGGGCATGGTGATGCACTGTAACCCTAGCACTGAGGAAGGCTGAGGGGATGGCTTGTCCCCTAATTCTTCATTCAGACTCCAAAATAACATCTGCCCCTCCAGGGTCTTCCTGCAAACATGGCAGTCGAAACACATGCTTGCATTTCTGCCTTTTCTACCCAAAAGATGGTGCCTGGTGCATGCTTGCTATCTTTACCCGCAATACATCTACAGGGAGGAGTGCTCACTTCTTACACTACATGGTAGTCCACTCACGCAGGTGTGACCAACTTTTCAACGCTGGACATGCATGGCTTGCTTGGGCTACATTGAGTGAAGAACAGTCTTGGGCTGCATATAAAATATAGAATGTATGTAAGTAACAAAAGCTTTCTTTTAAAAATATTTCTATCATAACACAGGAGTGTGCAACCCACAGGCCACAGATTGGACATTCCTGGTAAACACAGGCACAGTAATGTTCCCCTACAGTCCGTTGTTATTTCAAAAGCCACTTCCACGAATGACCTTGTGCTTATGTCATTTCTCCTGTATGAGGCAGGACAAATTCCCAAAAGTGGAGCTGCTGCTAGATAATGCCAAATGTATCTTCCACGAGCAATAGATGACAGTGTCTGTTTCCTTAAATTCTCACCAAGGGAACTTAAACTCTTAGATTTATGTCAATTTTGTCAAACTGATGGAAAGTGACATCTCGGTATAGTTTTAATTTGCATTTGTCTTACTTGAGTCAGGCCAAGCATCTTTCACACACCTTTCAGGTCATTCATGTTTCCTTTCTTGTGAAATGCATATGTCCACTGTCTATATTTCCACTGAGCTGCTGAATTTTGGTTGCTGATTTCTAGATTTTACGGCATAGATACAAAGGCCTTCTCTTACTTCAAGATTACAAAGTCTGGCACGATGGGGTGCACACCTGTAATCCCAGTACTCAAGAGGCTGAGGCAGGAGGATTGCAGTGAGTTCCAGGCCTGCTTGAACTAAATAGTGATAGCTTGTCTCAAAACAAAAACAAACTCCAAGTTTACAAAGGAAATCTCCCTGTTTTCATTGTACTTATGTTTTCACTTCTTACATTTAAAGTTCTTTCCAACATAAACGGACGATGTGACAAGCCTGCCTAAAATCTTCATGGCTTGCCTTCCATTCAAGATATGGCAAACACCCTCCCTAGCCCCAAGTCCCTGCCTGCTGTGACCATCCCAGCATCACTATCACAGAGGACTGGCACAGGACTCTTCAGCTCTAGGAGTACTGCAAGCTCCCTGCATTAGGCTTTGAAGTTGCTTTTTCCTTCTGCCCAGAGGCACTTCCCCCAGCTCTTCATTCAAAGCCCTCTTCTCAGAGCCATCCCCATCCTCCCTCTGTAGCCCAGGCCACCCTCCCTCCTTAGTGGAAGTGTTTCCTGTTTTCCTCCTTAGTGCCCTGTTTTCACATTACTTATGCCAATCTGTGGTGACTTGGTCTACTCGTCTGCAGAACACTGTCCATCTCCTCTCCAGATATGACCTTCAGGAGGCCCGGAGCACCTCATTTACAGTATACAGGCTCTGGCTTCTTCCTCCCCATGAAGCCACTTCATCTCCAAACACAACCCCGTCCCCTCTACTCCATTTACACACGTGCCAACCCTGACAGCGTCTCACTTGTGACTGAGCCAGTCTAAAGCTCTGACGTTAGTGGAGGATCCTGGAGGGACTATAACCTTCCACTGATCCCCAGAAGTAGCTCCAAAGCCTGGGCTGCCCTTACCATGCACTCCTGGGAGGCTAGGAGTACCCAGCCTCCCAAAGCCCTCCCATTTCACTGTGCAGTACAGTTTGGGTCTCTGCAGTTTCAGCAGCACCCACACATGCAGATGATGGGTAGGGTGTGGTCTTCGAGAAGGACCAAAAGGCCCGCTTAACTGCCTTCTACAAGTCAGTAAACAGTCCCGGTGAAGTTAGGCCCCTAAGCCCAATGAACATCACAGCAGTGCTGGCCACAACACTAATGGCAACTACAAAGCCTAGGCCCAGTGGTGCCAACCATGGTCCTGAAAGTGTCCTGCATGGGCAAAGCATCCTGGGTCAGACACCCTCCTCCTCCCATGGAACCAGTCCAGCCCAACAGACTTTATCATGTGCCCACCTATGTCATTTAAAGTTTCCAGTAAAAAAGTCAAAAGCTACAGGTGGAATTGAACATTTTATTTAACCTACTATAGTAAAAATATTTCAGAGGGAAAGGGAATGAAAAAAGGAATTACGATGTGTTATGCACATGTCCCAACTCCACAAAGGAATGTAAGCACGGTGTACTACAAATGCAATATAATATATATAATTTCAGCAGGGCATCATGGTGGTGCACGCCTGGGATCCCAGCACACTGGCAGGCTGAGGCCAGAGGATTGAAAGTTTCAGCCCAGCCTGGGCAATTTAGCGATTTGGTGAGACCTTGTCTTAAAATAAAACATAAAAATAAAAAAGGGATGAGATGAGCAAAGGATCTCGGTTCAGGCTCGAGTAAGGTGGAAAAAATATTCAGCAGCAATCAACAGGTTTAATGAGTTATTTTACACTTTTCTCACTGAACTTGTAAAACTGGTGTGCACTGTACGTTATACACACAGCACATCTCAGTTCAAGCGCTCGGCAGCCACCGGTACCAAAGCGGCTGTTCGGTTGGATTGCCAATCTCTAGCGGGCGCCTCCGCCACAGCCAGGTCCTTCGGGGACAAGCGTGCGGGGCGGGCCAAAGAGGAAGCCCCGCCCCTCGGCACGGGCCGCCAACAGTCGGTGGCAGAGCCGAGCGCTCACCCACCCGTTGATCGCTCACTCACCTCGCCACCGCCTCCACCGAACCGGGGATGGGCACGCCGCCGCCCGCACCGCAGTCTAACAGCACGCCCGAGATGTCGAGCAACACCCCGCGCACGCCAGCCAGCCGCTCGCTCCACACGGCCATTGCGCCCCACGAATGTACCTTGGACCCAGCGTTCCAACAAGCGCGGGAGACCGCGCTCGCGTCCGCCGCGCAGGGCCACCTGGGAGCTGTAGTCCTGAGGGCGGGATGAGCGGGGCGCAAACCGGAACTGCCCGAAACGGTGCGCTCTGTCCAGGAAGAAGTAGTTCGGCAAATAATGAGGTTTTTCTCAGAAGGTCCGAGGAGTAGGTAACGGCTCTCAGAAGAGTTTTCCTGCCTAAAAACCAGGGCAAAGGCAAAATGAGACAATAAGTTATCTGTAAAAAGAACAAGAATGGAAGAGAACAGGCTGTATCAGCGCTTCGCAACAGAATGGTCGAAGCCTTGATGGACAGTCCCGCGCCTGGGAAGCGACGCTAAGGAAATGAGTCCAGAAACGATTATCGCAGTGTAAGGTGTAACGGTAAAACAAGCTGGAACAAAATTAAATGTGCAAGGATGGGAATTGTTCAAGAAAGCGTAACATGGGTACTGAAAGAAATACAATGTGACTTTTAAAAAATGAGACTAGGTAACGTTTAGAAAACGTTCATATTCTAGCATTATATGAAAGAGCAAAATACAGGCTAGGCGTGGTGGTGCACACCAATAATGTTAGCCCTCTGAGAGACTCAGGCAGAAGGATCGAAAATCTGAGCCCAGCCTGGGAAAATTAACCGGAATCCGTATCAAAATTTAAAATAATAATAATAATAATTATTAATAATAAGGGCTGAGACATAGCTCGATGCGAAGGCGCTAGGTTTAATCCCCAGTACTACTAAATAAATAAAATGCAGATAGCGGCTCTGCAAAAATGAGGATATATAAGAACAGGGCTTGAAAGAAAATGGGACTATTACAATATATTACATCACAGAGGTTGTTTTAGATGAATTATAAAATTGCATTTAGTATTACATTTTTTCGCAATAAAAAATTAAATTTCCTTCACAGCCCCTCTGAACTGATTAAGTAAATTGAAACAGGAAAATTTGACTTCTGTTATGATTTGGCCTTGAGATTTCAAGGGAGGAGGACCGTTATTTTTTTCAGGCTCTTTCACAGAAAGGATGAATTCATCAGAATGTTAGTTTTAACTGAGTTTAATGAATCATGCATATTCTGTTGATAAACTTACTAGGAGAGCTGCTTACAAGAGAAAAATGTGGTTCTCCCTTTATGGGTTTTTCCATGCTAGGGAAGAGTATTATACTGTATATAAGGGTTCTTAGTTGCAGATGTGGAATCCACACTAGCTAGATGGTTTTGTTTACACAGGGCATGAAGGAACTTACAGATCTGCAGGAGAGCTAGAGAACCAAGCTCAAATACTACACAGGTAGGAGCCATGCATCGATAAGAAAAGCCTGTTTTCACCGCTATATTGGGAGTAGTGCTCCATCACTTGGCTGCCATGATGCCAGAGACCTAACAGTACAGCCTACAGCCCAGCTGCAGCAAAAGAGCCATACATTTCCAATCCTATCCCCTCAGAAGTGTCCTTTCTCCTGTGACCAGCATCTCATGTTCTCCATGTCTGACTTGGTAGAATCTATTCCAACCTGAATGGAAATCTGGGAAATGTAGTTTTTAGCCTTCCAGACTGTAATATATAAGGTGAGAGAGTCAGTCTGCATAATCTGCCAGAAACATCATGAAACGTATTGAGCTTCTACTCTGTGCAGTGGGCTGTATGATCTCTGCCTTCAAAGGTCAAGACTGGGCAGAGGACAAGGTATATACCTTCAAGATTACTGATCCACTAGGCATCAAATGTCAGTGTGACTGAGAAAGAGCCAAGAGGGATACTCTCTGTGAGCCATAGAAAGTACCAATGGCTTCTTAGCAGATGGACAGCCTGAAATGGGTCTTGAAAGAATGTTTGGGCTCTAGCTTCATGCCAAAGAGGACAAAGGGTGCCTCTGCCACTATGTGAGCCTCCTTTTCAACCATCTCTCCATATGACCTTGGGCAAGTCATTTTTCATCTGTAAGACTGTGGTAGACAGAATAATGTCTCCTTGAGATAGTCACATCCTAATTCTCCTATAAATATGTTATCTTATATGACAAAAAAAGGACTTTTTTTTAAAAAGGAACTTTGAAAAACAAACAAACAAAAAATTTCTGGGCTGGGGATTTAGCTCAGTGGCAAAGCGCCTGCCTGGCAAGCGCAAGGTCATGAGTTTGATTCCTGGTACCGGAAGAAAAACAAAACAAAACAAAAAATAAATAAAAGGGACTTTGAATATACAGCTAAGCCTAAGATCTTCTGGAGTGATTGTCTGGGATGTTCTAAGTTGGCCCAAAGTAATCCCAAGAAACCTTAGGGAAAGTAAGAGATATGGGCAAATTAGAGAAGGAGATGAAGGAATAGTAGCAGAGGACAGTGGGAAGGAGGAGGGAGGGAGGGTGAGAGAGAGAATTTGAAAGTGCTGTACTCATCGTTGAATAAAAGGGGCCAAGAGCCAAAAAAAGTGGGCAGCCTGCAGAAGTTGGAAAAGGTGGAGCAATAGCTTATTCTCCAGAGCTTCTAGAATACAGCCCTTCAGACCTTGGTTTTCAGACTTCTGAGCTCCAGAACTGTAAAATAATAAATTGGCATTTGGAGCTGCTAAATTTGTGGTACCATATTTATTATAGCAGTGATAGGAATGAAACACAGGGACCCAGGTCCCTCACCTGAAAAATTACATGTTGACTTTTTTTTTTTTTAAGACAATCTTACTATGTAATTCAGGATGGCCTAGACTCACTTTATACCTCAGGCTGGACTCAAATTCCCAGCAATCGTCCTGCCTCAGCCTTCCAAGTGCTGTAATTTCAGGCGTGTGCCATCACATCCAGCTCTACCTGTTGATTCTTAAGTGTGGTCCAGTGACAAACTGAGATCTGATCCAAAATCTTTGGATGTAATGGGCAGAGATGTCTAAGTTAGGGTCACATTTGGCTGCATATAACAAAGAAAAAATTGTTCCTCAACAAAATAGTGTTACTTTCCCTCCTATGTTATAAAGCCAAGGAAAAGGAAACCCTGAGTGGGTACAGCAGCTCCCAGGATCAGTAGGGAATAGTCTCCTTCCTCCTTTCTGCCCTACAACCCTCCACATGACCCTCATCCTCTTAAGGTACCTGAGGTACCTTCTTTTGCATTTCAGGGAAGAGGAAGTTGAGGAAAACAAAAGCTTCCACAGACTCTGAAGGGCTGAGGTAACACCATCACAAGTTTGAGCCAAGCCTGAGCAACTTAGCAACTTAGTGAGACCCTGTCTCAAAAAAGGGGCAGGGGTGTACGTCAGTACAAAGGTCCTGGGCTCAATCCCTAGTACAAAAGAAAAAGACAAGAAAAAGAGGAGGGAGGGGAGGGAAAAGAAAAAAGAAAGAAAGGCCAGTACATCAGTACAAAGGCCCTGGGTTCAAGGTGGAAGAAAAAACAAAACTTCCCCAGCATCCTGATCTGATGGGCTCATCTTTGCATCTTTTGGTCCAAAACTCATGCAGTGACACATTTACAGTACAGTGTGTAGGGCCATACACTCTACCAACGGAGCTTTGGGCATATTAATTTTCCAATGACAGATCTACCAAAATCATGCCTAAATTTCAGTTCAAATATAAATTCATCAGTTCTCAATTGCTATAACAGAAGTGCATAGTATGCTTTCAGATTTACTTGTATTAATTAGGACTTTTGTTGCCAGAAACTGAAATGGAAACCAGGTTCCAAGTGATTTAAATTTAAAGGGAATCTATTGGCTCACACCATCAGATAATCTAGCAAGTGATAGTTTCAGGTATGGCTAATTAGAATCTCTCTTCAACTCTCCCTGATCCTGTTTTGAGGGAAGTGGGTGGTTCATAAAATAATGTATACAAAAAGCCCAATGTCTGGCCCAGAGCAAGTGCCCAAGAAAGAGCAGCTATTTTTGTTAATACTATCGAACTAGGAGTCTGATTCCTGGTACTGGAAGAAAAACAACAACAACAAAAAAAACTATCAAGATGACTGAACATGTGTTCTGTTCACCCATATAACACTTATTACTTCATCATCTTCTTTGATGTTCTCTCTATATTTTTAAGATAAAGTTGATTTTTGGAGGGTAGTACTGGAATTGAACCCAGGGTCTTTATATTAAGCTACATCCCTAGTTCTTTTTTATTTTGAGGCCGGATCTTGCTAAGTTGCACAGGTTGGACTTGAACATGTGATCCTCCTGCCTCAGTCTCCCAGAGTGCTATGCCACCATGCCCAGCTTAAAGTTTTTTTTTAACCTGAAGAATGTCAAGAATACCCACTGATTTTTTGAAAAGTGAAATATGTTGAATAAAGTTAGGTTAGTGTACTGGTGCATGCCTATAATCTTAGCTACTAGTGAGGCTGAGGCTAGAGGTTTGCAAGTTCAAGGCCAGACTGAGCAATGTAGCAAGATATCTCCTAATTTAAATAAATAAATAAATAAATAAATAAATAAATAAATACTTTTCCAAAACAAGTCCAGGTGTGATGAGCCAGGCATGGTGGTACATGCTTGTAATCCCAGCACTAGGGAGCCTAAGTGAAGCAGGAGGATTGCCATGAGTTTGAGGACAACATGGGCTGCATAGTGAATTGAAGCCCAGATTGAATTACAGAGCAAGACTCTGTCTCAAGAACCCAAAACAGCAACAACAACAAAAAACAAAGAGCTGGTGATGTAGATCAGTGCTCCCTGGATTGATCGGGAAGCAAAAATTTTAAAAGTGTGTGTGTGTGTGTGTGTGTGTGTGTTCACAGTTTGGGGTCAGGTGGGAAGTCTACACTTTGAAGTTGGCTTTCACAAATCAAAGTGTCAACTTTTTTTTTTTTTTTTTTTTAAGGAATACTTGCTCTGTTCAGCAGCCAGAGTTCAAAGCTCTGGTGGGAAATGGAAATGCTAGCCTTTAATTGTAAATGAAAGCTCCAGCAGTGAGGACCTAGAGTCAAATAAACAAGCAACTGATTTCACTAGCAGTTTCCTTTTAAAATCCAGTGCTTCCCCTCTCCTAATCCCTAGACTTTTTTGAGTTGAAAAGCACATCTTGGGCTGGGGATATAGCACAGCGGCACAGCGCCTGCCTGGTAAGCATAAGGTCCTGAGTTCAATTCCCAGTACCCATCCCCCCGAAAAAAGCACATTTTGAGCAAAGGTAGCTGAGGCCCAGAGTAAGGGCGATGTCCACAAGGCTGTTCTCACAGTACCGAGCTTTATCACCAAGCTCTGTGTTATGAAGCTGTCTATTTGGCTCATAAGTCCGACCCCATGGGCCAGCTCAAACAGAGGGGTTTTACCTAGAGAATTCCGATTGTGTTTTATTTCAGGACATAAAATGTTATCTAAGATGCTATAACACAGCTCATAATATTGCCTTTCCTCCCTCTGCATAAACTGTACATTCTTTCCATTGTTACTGCTGTTCATGGCTCAGGCAGCAGCTCCTCAGGGCTGTGCTGGAATTATAGGCCATTTTGTTTGTGTGATAGCTTGGGAAGCTTGGCACCATTGATTTGCATCAGTGCCTCTGGAATAGCCTTTGCCTTCTCCTTAAAGATACTATCTAAACTGTGAAATTCATTAAATGGCCCCAGAAATGGATCAGGTTATTTAACACAACATCCCTAATGGCGCAATATCTCAGCTGTCCACACTGATAGCAAACATTGTCTTGGATAGTGTTATCAGCCCAGGACACCCGCTATGAATATTGATCCCGAGCTTGTTACAGCGATCACTTGCCATCAGGACAGGTCAGGGTTGGAACCCACCTAGCATCAAAGCAATTTAAAGACAGCACTCAGGCGGAATTTTAATGTCCATGCTGAAAGGAAAAAAATCAACTTGAGACACAGAGGGAATGTGGCTTCCCAGGTGTGGATATATGTATTACATAGGAATACCCTGGCTATAAATATATATGAAAAGAGTTAGTCAAATGTGTCTCCAGATTGTTCTAAAGGTTGGCCTCACTGCTTCCTGGGCCAAAAAGATTCCTTCAGGCTCTAAGTCTCCACTGTCCCCTAATCTGAAGAATGCATCCTGTTCTTCAGGTGGGGTTTCTAAACTGGGAGAATAAGAAAGAGCATTTCTGGTTCTCTAACATTAATTAGCAACACAGGTATTTTGTGTGTGTATATGTCACTTCTTGTCACAGGCCAAGTTCTAAATCTAAGGGTTTATATAGCCTTTCACTATACTGAGCACACATGAGAAATGCTGGAAAAATAAAGGCAAGAAAAACTTAAAAATCATTAGAAGGCATTCTTAAAGATTTGCAGGATTAAAGAATACAGCCTCTCTGTGTTCATGACAATGTGTTGCTTTTCCTTTTTTGGCTCGTTTTGTGTATTTAATGCCTGTGAACTTCAAAGCAAGGGTGATTCATACCAAAGGAAAACATCATATAATTTAAATACAAATTTTGAGGCAATTTGTAAACTATGATAAAATATCTCAGTATGGGCTGTTCTTCATTTTCGGAGAGGCCTTTTCTGTCCCTCTAATTTGGGGTATGGGTGCCCTCTGGAAAGCCAGCCCCACCAATCCTGTGAAATGGTCTCAATGTTTCTTCCAGACAAAAGACCCTAGGATAGTATTTCCATTCCTGAGTGACCTTACAGAGATCTATTCCTGGCTACTCTCAAGAATATAAGTAAAACAAAAAACCAAAAACAATAAAACACAAACACAGGAGGAAAAACGCAGAGGCTAGGTCAGTAGGGGGATGGGAAAGAAAGAAAGAAAAAAGATTTTCCAAAAAAAAATCAAGTAAGAACTATGTGAGAAAGAGCTGTCCAAACAGAAAACAAACTCCCTATCTGTATTCAAGAAAGTTCTGCGATTTGCAATCCCCATTTCTTGGTGCTGCCCTGTAGTCCTAGGGCTGTATTTTCTCTGGGTTTCACGGGGTGTGCATTCCCTTTGGCAGGAGGTGGTCTGGTGGGCTTGAGCAGGGCACTTCCTTTCCCGAGCTTTAAAAGCACAATCCGTCTTCACTGTAGGTCTAGAGCTAGTTTGAATTTCGGCAGGGCTTTAAAGTCTGCAGGGAATTTGGTGGCCACCTCTGGGAGGGGCCCAAAGGTTTGAATAAGAAAAGCTACAAGGAGCTGCCCTCTAAGGCTACTTCTTCAATAACAGATGGGATTAGCAGCTCCCAGCACTTTAATGAGAAGGGTTCTCCTCCTCTTCCTACTTTTTACCTGCTCAGACAATATTAATTGCCAAGTCATTGTTTGGAAACCACATGGGGCAGGGAAGAAAGGGGCATCAGAGTTATCGGTGGTGCTGGACAGAGAGGCTAGGGGAAGCCTCAGAATTTGCCGCTGAAATAAATGCTTAGTGCTCACAGAGTCCAAGAGACAATAGAAGGGATGTTTGTATGGGTGTGGCCGGTGAAAGCCTCTCCAATTGCCAATGCTTGCTGCCATCCAGAGGAACTGGGGAGCAGGTGGGGGCTGTTGCAACTGTCACTCTTCTCTGATCTTAGCTAAAACCAGATGGGCAGCTTTTAACTTTTTGCTTCTTGGGGCTGGGAGAGGATGAGGGGGGAGCTGTGTTCAGAGAAGCAGTCTATTTCCAGACACCCAATTGCTGATGCAGATGACCAAATTTGTGACTGTGAAGGCCTGATCGCCACGATGGTTCTGTTTAGGGTCACAGCAAACCCTTAGCCGTCTCTCCTGGGCTTGAGCCCACAGCCAGCCTGTTGGGTGCAGTCACCTCTTCAAAGCCGGTCCTACACTTTAGCCCTGCTGGGCTCCAGGGTAGAAGGAAAAGACATATGGTGAAGGATTTTCCTCTCTTGTTCCAAGACGGCAGGATGTACTGGGGAGAGAAAGAGAAAGAAAGAAAGAAAGAAAAGAAAGAAAAGAAAGAAAAGAAAGAAAAGAAAGAAAAGAAAAGAAAGAAAGAAAGAAAGAAAGAAAGAAAGAAAGAAAGAAAGAAAGAAAGAAAAAAGAAGGAAAGGAAAAGAAAAAAGAAAACAGAAAAGAAAAAGAAAATTGGTCTGGCCCAGATTGCCACCAACTAACAGTGACCCTGGGCAGATCATCTTTGAACCTTAATTTCCTCGTCTTTAAAACGGTCATGAGGGTCTGGGCCAGGCCAGGCTCACCTCCCAATGATCTTCACGGACTCAAAAGATTGGGAAAGCCCAAGGGCTTTGTAAACTGTAAACTGTGAGAACAGGAGAGCTTTTAAATCCGAAGAAAATGGGTCTGCAGCTCTTCCTGTTCTTTACAGGTGGAGCAGGAGATGTGCTGAGCATTGCTTTGAAGCGATCTGTCCTGGTTTCAACAGCATCCCAAGTCAAAGGCAGGTGCACCAAGGAGGGAGTGCAAACTCAAATGGGAGGTGGTTAGTGGGGATTCACAGGATGGAAGACTTCCATGCGCACTTCTTTAGTTTCTGAGGGTTGCGCGGAGGCTGGAGGAGCCGACTGTGCTGTCCCCGCGGTCCTGGCGCGCGCACTAGAGCGTGGGTGCTCCCCTAGCCCAGGCCAGCGGCCCCGCGCCGCGCGGGATAGTCCTGAGGATGCGGCGAGCGCGCCTTGCACGTGGCGGGGGCCTGAGCCCGGCAAGTGCCAATCCGCGCGCAGCCCCCCTCCCCGCGGCTCTCTGCACGCCCCGCCTCTCCGCCCCCTCCTCACCTTCACTTGGCAGCGCGAACCGGTTTGCGGAGAGACCTGCGGCCAAGCCACGGCTGAAGACGAGTCCGAGCGCCGCCATCCCGGACCCCGGACTCCTCGCCACCGGCCTCGGGTGCGCGGACTGCGGGCATGTTGGCATGGCAGGACAGCGGGGCCAAGGCGGCTCCCTCCCACCACAAGATATCCTTCTCGGTCCTGGACATCCTGGATCCACAAAAATTCACCCGCGCTGCACTCCCGGCCGTGCGCTTTGCTCATCGGGAAGCCAAGAAAAGTTTGGCAGAGGTCGAAGAAGGGAAGGAAGCTAGCCCTGGAGAGCCGGTCCAACTGGAGACCCCTGGTAAGAATGAGAGCCGGCCCCAACCCAGGTGACACAGAGCTAGGGCCTGGTGAATGGCCCTTAGCGACATCTTTGCAAAGAGGGAAGGCGCATTGGAGCAGGTGTAAAGGGTAGCCCTCTCCTTGGAATAGGATTGAGGTAGATAAGAGGCTCCCAGCAATCTGGGGCTGGCATTTGTCACAGAGGCCTTTTTCCTGCACACACCCCAAGCGGGTGACCACCACAGTGGAAACCTTAGCAGTGAAAACCAGCACCCAGCGCCCACTTTGGAGGCACACTCATTAACAGGCATTTAATGCACCCACGGGCACCAATGGCATACTAGAACCGGGCTCTGAGGTGAGGTAAAAGTAATGAAAACGTGAAACCTTGAAAGTAGATAGCAGCGTTAACACCACTCCTACATTATGGATGAGTGAGCTGAGGTCAAGGTCTACACCTGGAATCTTGGTGAGTGCTCAGGTCAGGTGCCTATTTCCACCTGCTTGGAGACTCCTGGTTGACTTTGCTGCACCTTGGACCTTCCTGCCCAGACCCAAGCCTGGACTGAGGCTAGGAACTGGGCTGGCATGATGTGACACTATTGGTATTTTCTCCTTAAAACATGTTTTAACTTACCCTTACTGCTGGAGGGCGACTAAGGAAGGTTCCAGGAAAGTTTATAGCAGGAAGAAAGATGAAAGACAGCAGGATTCGTACTGGGTGGGACATGGGCAGAGACTGCCTGGAGGGATGAGGGTCAGGACCTTAGGACCTGAGTGAGGAAGGATGCCGCGCAGCCTCTGCTTCTCCCCAAGTTTGGAGGTGATTGTCCGGGCCCAGCTGGGGTGCCTCTGGAGGCCGTGCTTGGGCCCCTGCCGCGGGCCTAGTAATTGTTCAGATCTGCTCTCAGAGGGGCCTCCCTCCTCTCTCTCACCCCCCATGATCGATATTCTATTACTGGCGCCTGCATATCTCCTGCCCGCAGCTTGCAGGTACTGGCTTCAAACCCCCTTTCCCTGTCTGATCCTAATATTGTTCGATTAAAACTTACCTTTAATAGATGACATCTATCGATCCGGTCCCGCACAAATCTGAAACTCTATTAACAGGGCAGGAGAGAGAAGATGGGAAAGGGGGGAATTTCACTTTAAGGGGAGGGGGCTTAATAACTTCTTTTTTAATTGCTAGGAGTCCCAGACCAAAATACGCTTCTAGCGACTAGGGAGGCACACCACTAAATGCACTTGACGTCTGAATGTCTTAATGTACAACGAACCCCTCCCCCCCAATGAGGTCACTCTTCTCTCTTGATGCGAGGTACCCATTCCCTCATTTAACATACTCTTCTTAAACGCCTACTAGGTGGCAGCTTTATAAACTGCAAGAGGATGCCATATTCCTAACTCTTCTTCTTGTGAGGTTGTGGAGGCCAGTGGTGGAAGGAACACAACGTGGGGACAGACTAAATGGGGGGAGGGCTTGCAGTGAGAACTATGTTCTCTGCGGAGGACGAAGGGGAGATTTGTAGACTTGGATTTTTCCGGGCTTCTGATCACCGGGCCTTTCTCCCCTAGAAACTGCGGGCCCAGGCGCCAGCCCGGCGTCCCCCCTGGAGGGCTCCGAGGCCGAAGAGGATGAAGAGGACGGGGAGGACGCGGAGGAGGCGCGGAGGCGCGAGGCGGCTGCGCACTCGCAGACTGGTCTGGCGCGCTCCCCCGAGACGCGGGCCGCCACACTGGGGGCTGCCGAGTGCCGCGCGGAGGGCGAGGGCGGCCTCATGGGCTCCCCAAGCTCGCCCGGCTCTCCGCGGCCCCGGCGCCGGCGGGCTGAGCCCAGTTGCGCCAAGCCCCGTCGCGCGCGCACTGCCTTCACCTACGAGCAGCTGGTGGCCTTGGAGAACAAGTTCCGGGCCACCCGCTACCTATCGGTGTGCGAGCGCCTGAACCTAGCGCTGTCGCTCAGCCTCACCGAGACGCAGGTGAAAATCTGGTTTCAGAACCGCAGGACCAAGTGGAAGAAGCAGAACCCGGGAGCCGACGGTGCAGCGCAAGCGGGAGGCGGCGCGCCACAGCCCGGGACAGCCGGCGCGGCGGCGGGAACCTGCGGCGGTGGCACGGGGGGCAGCCCCGGCCCGCCGGGCCCCGGAGCTCTGCCCTTCCAGACTTTTCCCTCCTACTCCGCGGCCAACGTCCTCTTCCCGGCCGCCGCACCCTTCTCGCTAACGGCCGCCGCCGGGAGCCCCTTCGGGCCCTTCCTCGGGCCCTCCTACTTGACCCCCTTTTACACGCCGCACCTATGAACCTGGGGTCCTCCAGGACCCTGCTGCCTCGGGATTCACGAGTGATTGGCTTCGCATAGGCCCCTTCCTTCACAGATCGGCCAGACGCGCACTGACCGCCCCCGCCCGGTGCGCGGGAGTCTGCGTGCCCCTTCCCTTTCAGCCTCTGGGAGAAGCCACCAGAGGGCGGGCAGAAGCCGCCTGCCGGCTCCGGCCGCGCCCTTTCCCGCCGCGCGGACCTGCAGAGTCCACGCGGACGGCAAGGGGAACTAGGAAATGTCCGGAGACGGAGGCTGTTCTAAAATCTTTCCATTTTCAGACCTGGCTTTTCACTTTCCGTCAAGTTCAATTCAGTTCAAGGGCTCTTTTTTTTTTTTTTAAGGGTCAGGGCATTCCAGGCCGAGCTAACAAGTGTCAGGATAGAGACACACAGAGAGAGCGCCTCCTAGAATGGAATCATCAAGGATTCCAATCTACTCAGAGGTGAGGAGCTTCCCCTTCTCGGAGCTGTTTTCCCTTTGGTACTTGATTAGTGGCTCAAACCCAGCGGGTGCTCCCAAATTCTGAAGAAGGCTGGAGAGAGTTGGGCACACAGTGCACGTTGTCGCTGTGAAACACTATTTTTAAAGTGCACTAAACTCAACATCTCTACATCTTCATTTAAAATTTGAACGTGAGTGCATGATTGCGGTTTACAGACTGCACAGGTTATCTTGATAGAGTGGCACCTTATTTTTCTGAGCAGGCCATAGATTTGTGCTAGGAAGGATCTCACTCAGAGTTGTGGCTTGAGTTACCTGGTGAAAAAAAAAACAGCTATGTTGTGCTGCGGGTTTTCAGACCAACTTGGACAAACCCCAGTCAGTGGTGGCCCCAAAATGCATAAAAATGATAAGGAAGGAAGTGATGCCCATTGAATGCCATGAAGTCTATGCAGGAGGCTGCTGGTTTTGATGCACAGTACTTGATACCAACTTCAGTCCTGGCTAGTTTGTCTGTCCCAGCACGTTCTGGACTCTGGGGGCAAATGAGCTCTACCATGACACACTGCCTGCACTCACGCCCTGGGACTCTTTAAAAAGCACAAACTAAACATGTCTGCGTCTTCATCTGAGATTCTGAGTTGAGAGCAATTCTTGTTCCAGATTCTCCACGACAGTGAACAAGCAAATGTTTATAAAAGGCTAGGAAAGAAATACTGAGAGTAAAGAGCTACTGTAGAGGCCAAAACCTTGTTTATATAGATTCACCTGAGAGACTTAATACAAGCATCTACTTGTTACTTTTACTGTCTCCCCTAAAAATTAGTTTTATAAAATTCTTGACAGTTTTCTCTACAATATCCTCCCATTAGTTTTCTGTGTAATATGGCCAGAAACATGGGTGACTTCAACTCCATGTCATGTGTGTTTCATTCTTATTTTTATCTGATTATTTCAGGCCAGCTAATATCTGTATTCCTTACTATTTCTCGGTAGCCCAGATCATAATCAGTAAACTTAACAAGGGGTTATGTTTTCAAAGTAAAAGTAAACTTTGAACATGTTATATTATTATAATCTTGAAATACCTAGTTGTATAATTATCAGGAGTGTTAGAAAATATCTCCTTTCTCCCAACTTAAAGACATATTCATGTGACTCATAAGGCTTGAAAATATGTATTATTGAATTATATATTATTTGCTAATTAGACTTTTCTATCCAAAGAATAGTCCCAAACAATGCATTATAACTTTCTAAAAGATAGCTGGTGCCAGATGAGATTAAAAACGCAATTATTATAATGGAGAATATAATATTATTCACATTACTTGTTGGTAAAAAACTCCAATAACTATGTGTTGATTTTTCACAAGCAACATTCCACGTGTATGAACAGGAAATTTAAGTGCACAAAGGCCAGATCTGTGAAGAAAAGGTCAAAGTTCTGTAGTAAGTGGGAGACATTTCATTCCAGTCCTCTCAGGTATCAGACTCACCAACTTGGGTGGAAAAGAGGGCAGAGAGAGGAAGGTAGGAGCTTATCTCTGTGTGAACTAGCCAGGTGCTATAATTCCTGGCCCTTCTTCCTCACATAAATTGTCCCAGAGTGATGCTTGAAGTGTGTGACTTTGGACTTCTGCTGCTTTAAAAGGCCCAGTGGCTTTCTAACCAAAATCTTAGACTCATTTTATTGATGTGTTGGCCTAATAAATTTCTTTTGTAATGATTTCTTGTTTAATCATTCCTTGCTCTTTATTAGCAAATCTTTTAATTTTAAAATCATCAAACACATATTTTTGTATTTCCCTTCCCCTACCAGCTGATTCTATTTTTACCCTAATGCTATTTTTTTATCTGTGACTCATGTTAGATGAATGGAGTAGTTATATTTGAGGGCAGCTTATACAGGTACACATTTAGGGTTATTTTCTGTAGCAAAAATAAATAAATAACCTCACAGAATTTTAATTAGTAGTTATTAATTAAATCAGTATCCACCTATCAGATTTGTCAAATGCTAATGCCCTAGCTTTACTTTATAAATTCTTAATACCCTAATAAGAGACTGGTGGACAGATAACTTTTCAGAATTGAACGACCTACTGATCATATCTTTCTGACTTGAGAAGTAACAATTGTTTTGAGGTGTGAGTGATGCTGGGGATTGATCCAGGACATTTGCACTGTGCTATGTTCCCAGTGCTTTTTTATTTTGAGACAGGATCTTGCTAAGTCACTATACTGCCCAGGCTGGACTTGAACTTGTGATCCTCTGCCTCTGCCTGTCAGAGTGCTGGGATTATGGGTTGTTATGGCTCGTATCTAGATGTCCCTCCAAAGTCTCATAGCACCCTAGTCCTCATAGCCTAGATAAAATATGAAAAGGGCAGAAAGATGCCCCTGTCAAGGTCCCTTGTTTGCCTTGCTACCTTCCGTCCACCATGAACTGTTTCTCCTCTGTGATGCCTATCTGCCATGCCACCCTGCCTTGGAAACAGCCAATTATGGACTGAAATCTCTGCAAACTATGAGCTAAATAAGCCTTTCTCTCTGTAACTCTGGGTGTCAGGCATTTTGTCTCAGCAATGAGAGAAAAGTAACTAAGACAGAATTTGGTACCAGAGAAGTGGGGGTCATTGCTATGACAGTACCTGATCATGTGGTTTAGGAGCCTTTGGAGCTGGCTTATGGGAAGGGGAAGAGTTAGGAAAGGTTTGGAGATGCTGGCTGAAAAAAATAGAGCTGGAATGCTTTAGGCTGTACTCGATGGGAGATTCTAGTCAGAGCTCAGAAGACCAGAATACTGACAGAAATGAGGCTGGTAAAGACTAGGCTCAGGGGGTTTCTTCTGGGAAGAAGGACTGCATTGGTTGTTGGACCCAGATCACATGTGTTATGGCTTGGCAGAAAGTTTGTCTGCATTTTGCTTATGTCTAGAGACTTTGCCTGAGACTAAGATTAAGGGTAGCAGACTGATTAATCTTGCAGAAGTAATTTCAAGGCAGTCTAATGTTGAGATGGTGGCATGGCTACCCCTTATTGGGGGCTTTTAGCCAGAAAGAATCAAGAACAAAGACCCCAGCAGAATGATTCAAAACATTTTGAGTTTGGCCAGAAAAGAAGCTCCAGTAAAGTTGTGAGCTGCAAAGATAGAATAGAGGAGAAATGTGTCACTGAAAAGACTAGCAAGCAAAAACCAAGTATTTCAGAAGAAGACAACAGAAAAGATGGCCTGAGAACATCAGAAGAACCAGCAGGACTCTAGCCTTTGCAGTCTCAAAATTGCAAAAGTGAAATACTTTGTTTTGAGAAGAAAGCCACAGAGCACCATTTTTCAGAATGATGGCAGCTTAGAGAAGTTGTTCCTCAGGATTTGGTTCAAAGGTGGTCTACCCCTAAAGCCAAGAGAGAAGGAAGACTAGCTATTGCTGCAGCTGGCCACAGACCTTGGCATCATCCACATGATGCTGGTTTTAGGTGTGTGCAGAATATAAGAGTTGTGGGGTCAGGAAGGCTTTCATCCAGATTTCAGAAGAAGGTCTGGGAGGTCTGGCAGCATGCCTCTGAGAGGGCAGTATGTGAAACTGAAGGTGCAGTAGAGACCCCAGAAGTTTGCACAAGTCTGGAATGTGGATCATCTGAGCTAAGCTGCAAGTTGGGAGCAGAACCAGGCAAAGGGAGAAGCCATGGGAGCTACAACCACTAGCAGTGCTGTAAGAGCAGAGCCACCAAAGTCCTTTGAAATTTACAGATTGTCTCAGATGCTGCACATCACACTACAAGATTTAATATTTGTCCTGCTGGATTTTACACTTGATTTGTCCCATTCCTTTGTATCCCCCTATCTGTACCTGTTGGAATGGTAATGTTCATCTTGTGCCATTCTATGTTGGAAGTGTTTAACTTTCTTTTCATTTGTACAGGGGCTCACAGCTAAGAGTTTGCCTTAAATCTCAGAGGAGACTTTGGACTTGGACTTTTCAGCAATTCTGAAACTGTTAGGATGTGGCAACTCTTGGAGATGGACTAAATGTCTTTTGTTTAAAGAGAATGTTGTGACTTGTGTCTAGATGTCCCCCCAAAGTCTCTAGGTGGGGCTTTTTCAGAAGTGGCTGTATCTAGAGTATATGATGCTGGGATTAAGGGTGTGTGATTACTAAATCAGTTCACTGTTTGGCTTGGCACCACCTTAATCCTTGTAGCCTGTATATAAATAAGAGGTGCAGAAAGATGCTGTCAAGGTCTCTTGCTTGCTTTGCTACATTCTGCCCACCATGAACTGTTTCTCCTCTGTGATGTCTGTCTGCCATGCCACCTGTTTGGATCCAGCCATTTATGGACTGAAACCTCTATGAATTGTGAGCTAAATAAATCTTTCCCCCCTTAGCTTTGGTGTTGGGTATTTTGTCTTTGCAATGAGAGAAAAGTAACTAAGACATAGGTGTTAGCCACCAAGTCCAGTTAGAGGTAACAATTTTTGTTCCCCCCGAAGCCATGTAACCAGCTTGTCTTATTTATGGGAGTGAGTGGAGGACATTTCTTCCATTGAGAGAAGCTCATTCCATTCTGTGGGCACAGAATTAATTAATTAATTCAGTGTGCTTGTTATTTTAGAAGTAACTCCTGAGAGCTGATTTAATTAAGTTTTAAAATGAGTATGGAAAATAATAAGTTCTCCAACAAATCTAAATACATTTAAAAACATGATTATGTCACATCTGCAACAGATCCAGGGAAAGAAAAACAGAAAGTGCCTCAGAGCAGGAGGAAAACTCTGAAGGTGATGGAGAGAGGATCAGGGAGATGTTCATGTAGGTTCCTTCTGAGCACTACACTCAACGCTTCTTGATTTCTTTAGGCGACGGTCTAGTGTACGTAGGGCTCAAAACATGGTCTTGCCATCACACGGGCCAGGTCAAAGCCAATCTGCTCCTTAGTGAATCTGTGACCTTGGTAAGTTACTGATGTCTTTTTATCTCAGTTTCCTCACCAGAAGGCCAGCATCAGGGGTGATAGAGAAGACATGAAAGGTTATGTGGAGAGCACTGAGCTTAGTGCTTGTTAGAATTATGGTGATTGTCATTCCAGCTGAAGCTG